TTGCACTAACAAACCTCTATCTGGACATTAACACACCTCTATCTGGACATTAACACGCCTCTATCTGGACATTAACACGCCTCTATCTGGACATTAACACGCCTCTATCTGGACATTAACACGCCTCTATCTGGGCATCAGAGCCACTCATAAAAGGGGAGAGGAGAGGAGAGGAGAGGAGAGGAGAGGAGAGGAGAGGAGAGGAGAGGAGAGGAGAGGAGAGGAGAGGAGAGGAGAGGAGAGGAGAGGAGAGGAGAGGAGAGGAGAGGAGAGGAGAGACCCAGCCTGGACTAGTTGTGTGGGTGAGTTGTGAATGTAGCGTGGGACCAGCATGTACCTCATCTTCCCCCGCATGCCTTTCTCTTTCTCTGTGTTTCTCTTGACCTGATGCTGCCGCTCGGCCTAATCCTCTGATCAGCATGCCAGGGAGGCCCGCTCCTCCGCCCCGCCGGGCCCAGCCACCGATCAGATGGTCTGCAACCACTTATACTATACACTGGGGCCTCGGCCTATTGTGGGGGGGGGCAACCCCAAGAGTGGGCATCCCAACTAGCAGCCACCAACCAACCCAGCCAACTCAATTGAGGGGGGGGGTGGGGGGGTGTTCAAGGAAAGGTGGAAATAGAGAAAAATTAAAATACATTGAATGAATGGATACATTTTTTATGAATCACATTTTGTTACATTTTACATTATGTTGATAGTGGATTGGCCCAATTGTAAGATGATGTGAGGCAATGAGGAATGAGAGAGAGGGAGTGGGAAAAGGATAGGAGAGAGGGAGTGAGTGAGAGACAGAGAGAGAAAGAGAGAGAGAGAGAGAGCGAGAGAGCGAGAGAGCGAGAGAGAGAGAGAGAGAGAGAGAGAGAGAGAGATAGAGAGAGATAGAGAGAGAGAGAGAGAGAGAGAGAGAGAGAGAGAGAGAGAGAGAGTGGTAATAGGAGAAAAACAGAAAATCCTGCTTTACGCCGTCGTGTCACAGGTTGGGTCCGTAGCCGTCGTGGCACAGGTTGGGTTCGTACTCCGTAGCCCTAGTCAAGTTCAAGTTTTCACCCACCCAGACAGACAAAGGGCATGGTGAATGGACTGGCTTTGGTGGATCGGGGGGTGGGGGTGCTTGGCACACAAACACTAAGCACTCGTTGCTGCGAAGCCCGCGGTGGCCCCAAATCCCCACATTTGTCCGAACAAATTGGCTGGACCCAGGGTCTTGTTTTCCTAGCTCTGCAGGGTTGATGAAGAGGGGCTAGGGGTAGCAGGAGAATGCACTTCCATAGACCAGGGCTCATGGGAAGAGAATAAATAGATGTTCTGGTCTGAAAACGGACCTCACAGGACTCCTTTAGATGTATTGTGAGATGACCTTAACATTAAAGTCCTGTAGATCAATTCTACCACTACCTTTTTGTTTACAAAGCTCTACTACACAAGCTTCCAACTTACCTAACTTCATAACGTATACATTAATGAGATACCAAACCCGTTCACAGGGTTGGTTAACTCTTCAGATTCCTCTGGTTTCAGCGGAATTTGGTAAATCTGCTTTCAGTTTTCACGCTTCACATTTTTTAAATCATTTATAAAATTCATTACATTTGAATTCTCTGGTGCCACCAGGGCATTTTAAAACCCTGATGATAAATGAGTTGACCGAGGTGTGCAACTGTTTTGATTGATTGATTTAATAACTTGTTTTTGATGGCTGTGATGTTAGTGATGTTTTAATGTAATTGTATCTTGTTATATTTGACTTCTTCTATTTTACTATATTTTACTTTGTGGTCTCAGGGCACCACTGAAAATGAGACCCTGGTCTCAATTGGGCTCCCCTGATTAAATAAAAGTTAATTAATTAACCTGCTAATAACTGCTGGTAGAATCCTAACTTGAGATGTGTGATTCATAGAATAAGTATTATTATTATAATAAGATGAAATGTGTAACGTTGGAGAACCAAGGTTAAGAAACAGTGGCCGACACTGCTGACCTAGTGACCAGTTGGACAGCACCCAAAACAATGACAGGCATGTCACAGAAATGACCTCTGAACTTAGGGTCGCGACCCTCAATGACCACTTTCCCCATCTACATAGTCAACAAACAAACCACGTCAATAAGATTCTTTGGCTGTTTTATCAGGGATGAGGACAGTGATCAATAACCAATAATCAACAGCCAGACAGTGGATGGCAGTAGAATCACGGTTATTATTATGAAGTGTGAAAAGTGAAGATGGGATATACCAATCACACGTCCTTGAGGAGTCCACTCTGACCTCTCTCCATTCACACGTCCTTGAGGGGTCCACTCTGACCTCTCTCCATTCACAGGTCCTTGAGGAGTCCACTCTGACCTCTCTCTCTTCACAGGTCCTTGAGGAGTCCACTCTAACCTCTCTCTCTTCACAGGTCCTTGAGGAGTCCACTCTGACCTCTCTCCATTCACAGGTCCTTGAGGGGTCCACTCTGACCTCTCTCCATTCACACGTCCTTGAGGAGTCCACTCTAACCTCTCTCTCTTCACAGGTCCTTGAGGGGTCCACTCTGACCTCTCTCCATTCACACGTCCTTGAGGAGTCCACTCTGACCTCTCTCTCTTCACAGGTCCTTGAGGAGTCCACTCTGACCTCTCTCTCTTCACAGGTCCTTGAGGAGTCCACTCTGACCTCTCTCTCTTCACAGGTCCTTGAGGGGTCCACTCTGACCTCTCTCTCTTCACAGGTCCTTGAGGAGTCCACTCTGACCTCTCTCTCCATTCACAGGTCCTTGAGGGGTCCACTCTGACCTCTCTCTCTTCACAGGTCCTTGAGGAGTCCACTCTGACCTCTCTCTCTTCACAGGTCCTTGAGGAGTCCACTCTGACCTCTCTCTCCATTCACAGGTCCTTGAGGGGTCCACTCTGACCTCTCTCCATTCACAGGTCCTTGAGGAGTCCACTCTGACCTCTCTCTCTTCACAGGTCCTTGAGGAGTCCACTCTGACCTCTCTCTCCATTCACAGGTCCTTGAGGAGTCCACTCTGACCTCTCTCCATTCACAGGTCCTTGAGGAGTCCACTCTGACCTCTGTCTTTTCACAGGTCCTTGAGGAGTCCACTAGAGCCTCCTCTAGAGAGTGACCACCTGTCAATCACTGCTGACCCATCAAAGGAAGGAAGGAAGGAAGGAAGGAAGGAAGGAAGGAAGGAAGGAAGGAAGGAAGGAAGGAAGGAAGGAAGGAAGGAAGGAAGGACAGCCCAGCGGCAGCGGAAGCTCCAACCCTCTCAGGGATACCGGCGGCGGCCCCTCATCCCTCTGCACAATCAGATACTCCATTACATCCCCTTATGTACGAATACATGACTTTAACGTTTGATGGAAACGTTGTCAACCAAAAGGGTATGCATTAGACAGAGCATCTGAGTGTGCAGGCCATACTTTATTCTAAGACTATACTCCTGAGTGGCGCAGTGGTCTAAGGCACTGCATCCCAGTGCTAGCTGTGCCACTAGAGATCCTGGTTCGAATCCAGGCTCTATCGCAGCCGGCCGCGACCGGGAGACTCATGGGCGGCGCACAATTGGCCCAGCGTCGTCCAGGGTAGGGGAGGGAATGGCCGGCAGGGATGTAGCTCAGTTGATAGAGCATGGCGTTTGCAACGCCAGGGTTGTGGGTTCGTTTCCCACGGGGGGCCAGTATAAAAAATATATATATAATAATAATAATAATAATAATAATAAAAAATTAAAATTAAAAAATGTATTCACTAACTGTAAGTCGCTCTGGATAAGAGCGTCTGCTAAATGACTAAAATGTAAATGACTATGATTTATACCCTACTTGATACCACGACTTAGCCTCGTAGTACCACACTGATCTCGCAAGCTTACATAAATATGTTTCGCTATGAGTGTGCTATGAGTGTGCTATGAGTGTGCTATGAGTGTGCTATGAGTGTGCTATGAGTCCGCTATGAGTCCGCTATGAGTGTGCTATGAGTCCGCTATGAGTTCGCTATGAGTGTGCTATGAGTCTGCTATGAGTTCGCTATGAGTGTGCTATGAGTTCGCTATGAGTCCGCTATGAGTCTGCTATGAGTCCGCTATGAGTCTGTGTAGCGAAACACATCTACGTAAACTGAAGAGATCAGTGTGGGAGTAGGAGGCTAACTACTACTATTTCTTGGGAAAATTAATCTGGCCACTTGCTTTACTGTGGAATGTCTCTGACACCAATTTTGCAGAAGAGCTGCCGAGCCATACAGTACATGTACACAATCTTTTATAACTTTGTAATTTTCTTAGCAATGCCTTCAATCTCATCTCGTTATTCCACAGACATGATTTCACTGAAAACATCTGTTTATTCCACAGACATGAGTTCACTGAAAACATCTGTTTATTCCACAGACATGAGTTCACTGAAAACATCTGTTTATTCCACAGACATGAGTTCACTGAAAACATCTGTTTATTCCACAGACATGAGTTCACTGATACATCTCTTTATTCCACAGACATGAGTTCACTGATACATCTCTTTATTCCAGACATGAGTTCACTGAAAACATCTGTTTATTCCACAGACATGAGTTCACTGATACATCTCTTTATTCCACAGACATGAGTTCACTGACATCTTTATTCCACAGACATGACGAGTTCACTAACAACATGACTCGAGGTAAATAAAAGCCATTCTCTAAACACTGCCTCTTTTCTTAGTGCAAGTCCTCTCAAGCTACGAGTCTGAATGAAATGCTTAACAAAAAAAATCAAATTCCAGCGGTTGAGATATTTATAGCTTATTCGCCTAGAAACACAGATGATTTTCATGTTCTTACACCAGATCTGAATCTTTGAACGAGAGAGAGAGAGGAATCTCAATATGTTTGCATTGGAACCGAGCGGGCCGTGTCCTGCCACCCCCATCTGCTGGACAAGACAGGTATCGCTTCTCTAGAATTCAATTCCTCGAACAGGGAAATGTACCTGTATGTAGTTATCAGAATAAAGTAGTTTTTTATATAATAATAATAATAATAATAATAATATATTGATATGTCCTGCAAAAACACACAAAATAATTACTTCTACTGAATACTGGCACATTTAATCAAATCTAAAGCTTTTGACAAATACTTTGTTAACAGCTGTAAATCAACATCGAACTATCTGAAGAAATTAAACCTAACGAGCTCAATCCTTCGATATAGTTTACTGGGTGAAGCGGCTGTGTTGGACAACATGGATGTTTGGTTATAAACGACTGTGGGTTCTGCTCTCTCACTTGCCACTGAGTTTGAGGACGTTGGTTACCATGGCTCCGATGCCGTCGAAGATCAGGTGCAGCTGGGTCTCACACATGAAGGCTGGTGATGTCACCACCTTGTTCTTCTGGTCTACGTGGGCCTCGTGATGACACTCAGGTCAAGGGTCACACACAGACAGGGATACAGAGGCTAATCAAAAATCGCACGTCAAAAAACAGCAAAGCTTAAATTACATTTCCCTTTCAGCTGAGGGCAGTAACTTTGCAACATACTTTTCACATTGCCTTTGACAAACGTTGTAATATATGCCATTTAACAGACTTACAGTCACGCATACATTTATTACGTAATGGGTGGTCATGGGAGTTTAACCCACTACTGCAAGCGCCATGCTCTACCAACAGTCAGAGGACCACAGGTAAAAAGACCTGACAAAACAAAAAGTACTATATAACCATCATGGATCCATCACGTGAAAGGATATGGTGACTTCCTTGATGATGTGCTTGGCTCCCAGGGCCTTGATAGCCCCAGCAGTGGCAGCATAGGGCCATTTGCCCCCCTTCTCCTCCTCGTGCCCCACCGTCACCTCCACCCCAGGAAGCAGCTTGGCAGCCAGCACAGGAGAGATACAGCACAACCTAGGTCGAATACAGCCAGGTTAGGACAACGTACTAATTCCATGTGAGCGGCGTCGATGGGACGAGCGTCGTTGCTAACTAGCGTCGCTGGTACCTTAGTTTAGAGGTTGGCACTATGACGTCGCGTAGGTGGTTACATTGCTATGTTACAAAAACTCCCACTGTACCTAACATCATTAATAACCTTTAGGCATATGAGCTACCATACGCGGTTTGTGAAAACAAAAATTAGCTTAATTTAAAAGGTTAAGAGCGTGGTTGGTTAAGGTTATGTTTAAAATCAGATTTTATGACTGTGCCAGCTAGTGACCACTCAGCAGAGCTGCCTCCAGGGCAAGATTCATGACGAAAAAAACGTTAAACCGTACCTTGTCTCAGGGATGGTTAACTCATGAAATTCCTTCAGTCTCTATTTATGGAACAATCTTCAAAATGATCTTAAAATGTGATGTTCTGTTGCCTCTAGGGCAATTCAGAAAGCTGATTGAGGCCCTTATTACTGATGAATGCGTTTTTTTTTTTTATGACCGTGTTCTTTCTGCCTGCATTTTGTATTTGACGTGTGTATTTCTGTAATTTCCGTAATTGAGGGCTCATCTATAAAAAGAGACATTGGTCTCAGTATGACTCCCTGACAAAATAAAGGTTAAATAAAATACAATAAAATAACTCTTCCTCATTTATACAAAGAGTTATGGATATTAGAATCCTCGTACAAACTGATATTCTAAAATGCTTTTCGTTCCTTTCCTTCTTCTATGCTGATGTCGTGAAAGATCTGGGCATGTGAAAGCAAACCCCTGGTAAAGGCATCCACCTGATTGCTTTCCAACACTTTGTAACTTCAAATGGGTGTGAATGGAAGAAAAGGATACAAGAATACAAAGCCACTTTAAAACGATTGAGATAAACTACAGTGCATTTGGAAAGTATTCAGACCCCTTCCCTTTTTCCACCTTATGTTACGTTACAGCCTTGTTCTAAAATGGATTAAATCGTTTTTTCCCCCCCTCATCAATCTACACACAATACCCCATAACGACAAAGCAAAAAGAGGTTTGTATAAATTTTGGCAAATTTATATAAAAAGTAAAGAAACTGAAATATTACATTTACATAAGTATTCAGACCCTTTACTCAGTACTTTGTTGAAGCACCTTTGGCAGTGATTACAGCCTTGAGTCTTCTTGGGTATGACACTACAAGCTTGGCACACCTGTATTTGGGGAGTTTCTCCCATTCTTCTCTGCAGATCCTCTCAAGCTCTGCCAGGTTGGATGGGGAGCGTCGCTGTACAGCTATTTTCAGGTCTCTCCAGAGATGATCGATCGGGTTCAAGTCCGGGCTCTGGCTGGACCACTCAAGGACATTCAGAGACTTGTCCCGAAGCCACTCCTGCGTTGTCTTGGCTGTGTGCTTAGGGTCGTTGTCCTGTTGGAAGGTGAACCTTCGCCCCAGTCTGAGGTCCTAAGCACTCTGGAACAGGTTTTCATCAAGGATCTCTCTGTACTTTGCTCCGTTCATCTTTACCTTGATCCTGACTAGTCTCCCAGTCCCTGCTGCTGAAAAACATCCCCACAGCATGGTGCTGCCACCACCATGCTTCACCGTAGAGATGGTGCCAGGTTTCCTCCAGATGTGACACTTGGCATTCAGGCCAAGGAGTTCACTTTTGTTTCTCATGGTCAGAGTCCTTTAGGTGCCTCCATGCAGGCTGTCATGTGCCTTTTACTGAGGAGTGGCTTCCATCTGGCCGCTCTACAATAAAGGCTTGATTGGTGGAGTGCTGCAGAGATGGTTGTCCTTCTGGAAGGTTCTCCAATCTCCACAGAGGAACTCCGGAGCTCTGTCAGAGTGACCATCAGGTTCTTGGTCACCTCTCTGACCAAGGCCCTTCTCCCCCGATTGCTCAGTTTGGCCAGGTGGCCAGCTCTAGGAAGAGTCTTGGTGGTTCCAAACTTCTTCCACGTAAGAATGATGGAGGCCACTGTGTTCTTGGGGACGTTCAATGCTGCAGAAATGTTTTGGTACCCTTCCCCAGATCTGTGCCTCAACACAATCCTGTCTCGGAGCTCTACTGACAATTCCTTCGACCTCATGGCTTGGTTTTTGCTCTGACATGCACTGTCAACTGTGGTACCTTCTATAGACAGGTGTGTGCCTTTCCAAATGTTGTCCAATCAATTGAATTTGGAGGCGAAAGAAACGCACACCTGTTAAGGAGAGGTGCTGGCTAGCAGAGTAGAACACCTGTTTAGGAGAGGTGCTGGCTAGCAGAGTAGAACACCTGTTTAGGAGAGGTGCTGGCTAGCAGAGTAGAACACCTGTTTAGGAGAGGTGCTGGCTAGCAGAGTAGAACACCTGTTAAGGAGAGGTGCTGGCTAGCAGAGTAGAACACCTGTTTAGGAGAGGTGAATTAGAACACCTGTTTAGGAGAGGTGCTGGCTAGCAGGTAGACACCTGTTACGGAGAGTTGCTGGCTAGCAAGTAGAACACGTTTAGGGAGAGGTGCTGGCACAGAGTAGAACCCTTTTAGGAGAGGTGCTGGCTACAGAAGTGACACCTGTTTATGAGAGGGCTGCCAGCTAAGTACGACACCTGTAAGTAGCGTGCTGGCTAGCGAGTAACCACCTGTTTAGGAGAGGTGCTGGCTAGCAGAGTAGAACACAATAATGTAATAACCTAATAACCAACGTTTGGACAGACAAGTATATGATGAAGACAGCTTGTCTGTGGAAACGTTGGTTATCAGGTTATTACATTATTGCATCTGAGCTCCTAGAGTGTGAGGCTCTCCTTTTATTTTCCAATCAATTGAATTTACCACAGGTGGACTCCAATCAAGTTCTAGAAACATCTCAAGGATGATCAATGGAAGCAGGATGAACCTGAGCTCAATTTCAAGTCTCATAGCAAAGGGTCAGAATACTTATGTAAATAAGGTATTTCTGTTTTTTATTTTAATAAATTTGTCAATTTAGAAAAAGTCTAGGGGTCTGAATACTTTCCGAATGTACTGTATAACCAAAGGGCTACATTCGTTACAAGGGGGCACTCAATCCCTAGACGCTCTTGGACACACTACGGAAACATAATCAAGCATATGACCAAATTATGCAAGATTTTCCTTCTGGGTTAACCGAGATTACTCCATCCCCAACAAGCACAGTACACGACGACAGCACTGACCCAATGGGTTTGCCTGCCTTATGGAAGTCCTTTAGGACACGCTCCACATCTGTGTTGATCTTGCAGTCTGGACCATCAACGGCAAACGTCGACCTGCCACACAAGACAAGCAAAACGGATCAGTCTGAGAGGGACAGAGAGAGAAAAATCGAGATGCCCAAGTAGAAGCTCAAAGTGTTTGTAATAGTAGATACACAGAACATGAATTAATACTTTTTTAACAATGTGGTATGACAACACTGTTCCACCTACAGGTTTTTTGCCGCCCCAAAGCCCCCTGGGAAGATGATGGCGTCGTGGTCGCTGACGCTGAGTTTGGCGAGATCTGTGATGTTTCCCCTAGCGATGCGTGCAGACTCTGACAGGACGTTCCTGGACTCGTTCTCAGCGGGCGCTCCCTTCCCGTGGTCGATGACATGCATCTGGGACACGTCAGGGGCGTACATCTGGACCTCTGCCCCGCCCCTGCTCAGATGCACCAGAATCCTGTCACACACACACACACCACATCAGTGAGAATGACGTAACACTAGGTCGGTCGTACCTCTTGTTCACTGTATGAATCAGGTAAGATGGCACCTTCTGCTGGCCCACTTCTCACAGGCATATATATATATACGCAATGTATGGTTTAGCCATCTTGTCAAGCAAGTAAATAGCATGTTGTACACTGTAAGACAGGCTTGGAATAGAATACAGTAGAAAATAAATAGGCCGACTCACGCTGATGCTTCATGGATTTCTGTTCCGTCATACACACCACAGCCAGACAGCACCTGTTAACATGACTTACATTAATATGACAAGTTCACTTCATATAAAATGATTATCTTATGCAAATGAATGCAAATCTTGATCAACTCCAAGAACAAAACTACACTGAACAAAAATATAAAAAACGCAACATGAAAAAGTGTTGGTCCCATGTTTCATGAGCTGAAATAAAAGATGCCAGAATGGTTCCATACGCACAAAAAGCTTATTTCTCTCAAATTTTGTGCAGAAATGTGTTTACATCCCTGTTAGTGAGCATTTCTCCTTTGCCAATATAATCCATCCACCTGACAGGTGTGGTATATCAAGAAGCTGATTAAACAGCATGATCATTACACAGGTGCACCTTGTGCTGGGGCCAATAAAAGGCCACTCTAAAATGTGCAGTTTTGTCACACAACACAATCCCACAGATGTCTCAATTTGTGGGAGCGTGCAATTGGCATGCTGACTGCAGGAATGTCCACCAGAGCTGTTGCCAGATAATTTAATATTCATTTCTCTACCATAAACCACCTCCAACACCATTTTAGAGAATTTGGCAGTACGTCCAACCGGCCTCACAACCGCAGACCACGTGTAACCACGCCAGCCCATGACCTCCACATCCGGCTTCTTCACGTGCTGGATCGTCTGAGACCAGCCACCCGGACAGCTGATGAAACTGAGGAGTATTTCTATCTGAAATAAAGCCCTTTTGTGGGGGAAAGACGTATTCTGATTGGCTGGGCCTGGCTCCCCAGTGGGTGGGCCTGGCTCCCCAGTGGGTGGGCCTATATCCTCCCAGGCACTAGCTTGCAAAAAAAACAGAATAGTCCGCCTGAGGCCAGAAGTTAAATAAAATTAAGTTTCAATTTACTCTGTCGATTGTCTGTAGGCTTGGTTCTTATGCAGGGGAATTTGAAGAATTTTTTTTTTTCTAATGTAATGTCTAATTTAACAGAATTTCCAAACGTAGTTCCTCAGCATGGTCAGTTCCGCTTACCTCATGTCAAAATAAAAGTCCCCCACAAGTTGCTTGCTTTTTTGTGTGCAGGTATGGCGCACCTGCAGGACTTTTATTTTGACATGAGGTAAGCAGAGCGGAAGTGGGTCTACAACAGACCCACGTTTGGAACGTTTGGAAAGTCAGTTTAATTTATGTTCTATTAGATGTTTTTATGTCAATTTCGCCTCTGCATAAGGACCAACTCTACGGACAATCGGCAGGGTAAATTGAAATTACATTTTATTTAACTTCTGGCGGACTATTCCGTTTTTTTGCAAGTTAATTCCTAGCAACCTTGGTGTGTTAATACTAGCATTGCTAAAAGCAGCAAGCGACTGATTGTGACTCAATATTGCAAAATTAAATCCATTTTCAATGGCCTTTGGTTTGACAAGGGTATTAATTTTGTATGTGATTTGTTAGACAACACTGGGGAGTTTCTGCCGTTTGAGTTGATTGGTAAATATTACTCAGAGAATATATGAAGGTTTGCAAAGCAATTCCACTTCCTTTACTTGGACTTATTAAGAACACTTTGTGATATAATGAAGTTGTTCCCACTTTTCCAAGTTAAAAAATTAATGACTTGAACCTTTTGGATAAAAAATTAAACAATAAGTTGATACGATTGGCAGTTAATGAAGTACATTTTTGTGATGATAATTCAATATATTGCTATGGAATTGGCAACGCAATCGTCAAAAGCGACTACATTTGACCTTAATTGTCCAGTCATCCCAAAAGTTAAAGAAACGTATTTTAAAATATTTTCTTCCATCCACCCTGTAAATCATTTCTTGCACAAAATATTCAATTTTGACAAAATACCTTGTTTTTTGTTCCTCTGATTCAGAATCTATGGAGCATTTATTTTTTTCATGCCGCCATTCTAGTAAACTAAGGATTGAAATTCATGAATGGGGTTGTGTATAAAATCTCCAGAATTACCTATGTTTACCTTTGATGATGTTAAATGGCATTATGGTTATCCTTGTAATTCCGATCATAACTATTTGATTAAACATTATTTTTCTATTGGACAAATATTATATTCACAAATGTAAATGGGATGGGAAAATTCCTTATTTTGTAGTTATTTTTTTTTAATTGAACTGTTACAATTTTATAAATCCCTCAAACTTGTGAAACTTAAAGTTGGAAAATGATTAAAGTCATGTCTCTGAATGTCTGTTAATGTATCATTGCCTTGTCACATAAATTGTGTCCTGAATTATTCTAATTTTGTTTTTATTTTGGGGGGGGGTTCGCCTCGTGTTTTATGATTTTATTTGTTCTTTGTGTCACAGGAATGTCCCTGTATTGATGTGGAATATTGTTATTATTGTTGCAATAATAATAATAATAATAATAATAATAATAATAAATGTTGCTAACAAATCGCGCGACCAGTTATCAAAACTCAATAACGCCTCGATATAAGAGAATGGAGTTGAGCGATCCTCAGCTAGGGGATTTCCGAGACTACCTTCAACTTGTCAGAACTGACTTGGCACACATTAATCATTTAGCTAGTAGCCCACTACTCGACACACTATATCTGATCCAGGTTTACTTACAACTGCAACTTTTGCCCTGCTCCAACTGGCACTCGTGTGAAGCCCCGAGTTTACCAACTGTGATTTCACTTGGAATGGAACCGATTTAAAAGCTAGTGATCTTAAAGCATACATTTTTTTACTAACTGCGTTGACTACAGCGTTGTACACAAACCAGGCAGGGACCCCCTTGACAAACGCACAAGATGCCGGACAGTGGCATCAGCATCGCGACAGCAACAATTAAATAGTACTTCCGGGTCACGGAATTTCGGAAATGTTCCAAATAAAAGTCCACCACGTAATATTACAAAAGTGTCATTAACCTGTATTTATTCATGATGTATGAAAAATAATTGTCTAAACATTAACAATGACTCAAATTTGTTTATATTTCACTGACATTTGCAATCAAATTTGGATTTCAAAACACATTCCAAGGTCAAATAAATACCCCCAACGCAAATTACTGTATTTGCATTACATATTGGCTTACAGAGAAAAAAACTATTCTGTAAAAGTGGGGTGGGGAGTACGCAGTATGGTCTTTCAGGTTATGTCGATATAGGACTCGTTTTACTGTGGATATAGATACTTTTGTACCTGTTTCCTCCAGCATCTTCACAAGGTCCTTTGCTGTGACATACCCAAATCTAACTGCCTGTAGCTCAGGTCCTGAAGCAAGGATATGCATATTCTTGATACCATTTGAAAGGAAACACTTTGAAGTTTGTGGAAATCTGAAATTAATGTAGGGAAATATAACACATTAGATCTGGTAAAAGATAATACAGACAAAAAAACATGCGTATTTTTTTATATTTATTTTATCATCTTTGAAATGCAAGAGAAAGGCCACAATATAATATTGCAGTTTAGGCGCAATTTAGATTTTGGCCACTAGGTGGCAGCAGTGTGTGTGCAAAGTTTCAGATTGATCCAGTGAAGCGTTGCAATACTGGACTATTTTGTATCAAGTCTGCCCAAATGTGCCAAATTGGTCAATTGATACATTTTCAATTACATAACTATATAGAACATACATTTTGCATTACCATATCATTTTTGTAAGTTTACACACTCCCAGGAATGTCATACATGATTGATCATTAGTTTATACACTAACTTTCACATATCTAGATGGGCAGGCGGGATGGGTGTGGAGCCAGAGACAGCAGGGATTCAAACTGTAGAACCCAGTTTCTAAATTTGAATATAAAATGGATTTTATCAAACAAAACTATGCTACATTTTATCTCTGGGACCCTTAGGATGACAAATCAGAGCAAGATTACTGAATGTAAGTGCATTATTTACCTTCAGAGATGAATGTATCAAACCGTGATAAGTTTTTTTGTTGTAAGTAACAGCAAACTTTCCAGGACATAGACATGTCTTATATGGGCAGAAAGCTTAAATTCTTGTTAATCTAACTGCACTCTCCATAAACAATAACATGGTATTTTTTCACTGTAATAGCTACTGTAAATTGGACAGTGCAGTTAGATTAACAAGAAATTATGCTTTCTGCCCATATAAGACATGTCTATGTCCTGGAAAGTTTGCTGTTACTTACAACCAGTGGCGGCTCCTGAAAAAATTCTCAGGGGGGGCAATTTTTCTGATGATTTAGGTGACCTACACACATTTTAAAAAAGATATGTCCAGCAACAACATGAAGACAGGGGCAGCATATAAGTCAATGCCAGAAGCATTTATTGACTGATCTCAAAAGTGTTGGCTTACAAAAGCAAAATAAGTTATCACAGTAAAAATAATCAAGGGTGTTCTTTCACATTCCTCAACACTGCATAAACAATATGCATTTCCATAAACAAATGAAATATCAGCTGAAAATACAGCATCTTGGTATTTGTTCAGATTGCAGGATCAACAAGAGCTTTTACCACATTTTTTGCCTCATGGTTGAATTGGAAATATGTGCACCTGAGCATAATTCACAACAAGCAAGCAGGAGCTTTTGATAGGGGCTACTGAAAACATTGATGCAAGTTATTGGTAATAAGAAATTTTTATAGACTTCCATATTCTGCCCTCTTGTATAGATTTGTGAAAATGAACAGTGATAGACATTTTGCCTGAAAACAGAATTTGAAAATAATTTATAGAAAAGGTAAACACAGCTATCTGTATGGCTTTGTAAAAATGAACAACCATATTCTGGCCAATTGTATAGATTTGTAAATATGAACAACCATATTCTGGCCAACTGTATAGATTTGTAAAAATGAACATGAACAGATTATTTTATTTTTTTTACATGAAAAATAACTATTTTAAACAACATCAACTGTGAACTGATTTGGGCGTGTGTGTGTTAAAGAGACAGACAGGGAGGGACAAAGAGAGAGAGAGGCTACATTACTTGTACTGAAACTGTTCTCTTCTCTCTTTCAATGCAGCAAAGCGGTCAATGACTTTCTCATTGAAATCAGGCATGCTGAGGACTAGTTCCCTCTCCATGGAAAGCATGGCCAGTGCATTCAGACGTTCCTGGCCCATTGAATTTCGCAGGAAAGTCTTAACTCGTGTCAAAGTTGAGAAACATCTCTCAGCTTCAGCTGTTGTCATGGGAGTAGTTATGAGGATGTTCAACAGAGTCACAGTCTCAGAGAACGTCTCCTGGAGGTTGTAGCTCATGAGAACCTGGTACAGTGCCAGTGCACCACAGTTTGACTTTCTCGTCATCGGCAAAAAGACCGTTCAGTCTCTCCAAAAGCACACTGGCGATTGAGACTGAGGTTGATTCCGAGATGGGAAGGAACTCAAAAAAGCGCTCCTGCACTTTGTGGTTGCTATCTATGTACCTCAGCACAAGCACCAGCTGTGTCTGTGTAGAAACGTCCGTGGTCTCGTCAGCTTGGATAGCTACGAAGTTCGCCGACTTCACCTCCTCCACAATATGTTCCCTCATGACCGCTAGCATACACTCCAGTAGCTCGTTTTGAATGGTCTTTGATGTGAACTTCTTTCAAAGAGACAATCGAGTTGCACTGAACGCTAGCCATCTTGATAGTAGTACGTGAATTGATTGACGCTGCTACCCGCTCTTTTCTTAGTTACGTTCATGGTTATGTTACGTATGACGAAAGCGCGTAAGTGCAAGCCCTCAGAAACCCATAGAGATTGTATTGAAAGCTCTGATATTTGAAAAAAAAAGATTTTACATGAGAGGCTATGAGACACTTCTGGGCGATTTTCAACCTGACTGAAATCGCCCCAAAAGGGGCGGGGCCATTTGAAGCACGACTTTAGCCTGATTGGACATTTAGTGGCAGATCAGACGTCTAGATTAGAACACTGATAACTACTGTTGCCGTGATATAATTGATTAGAAAAAAAATCCCTTCCTTTTCCCGTTTGGCAGTGCGTCGCCCATATCGCCCTAATGAACACACCGCCCCTGCTTACAACAGTCATGCTAATCACATTAGCGCACGTTAGCTCAACCGTCCCGTATACGGGACACCAATCCCGTAGAGGTTAAAAAAAGGGGGTGCCTAGTAGGAGTGAAATATTCAGAAGTGTCTCATTTCTCTCTCTACAGTCCAATATGTGTTCCATGTACAGTGTATTGCGTTGGAGGCTATGGAGGGGGTGGAGAAGGAAGTGTTGCTGGATATGTACAACACAGTCTCAAAAACAAATCATATTTGGTTAGTAGAGACCCTACTGAGTATTTCCCTTTAGCTAAGACAATTCGTGGTAAAGTTAGTTCGTAAGGTTCTCTCTACAGTGCTATATTTGGACCACATTTACATTTGTCCAGGTGCCCATAGAAACATATTTCACCACAGTAAAAGTCCAGCAACACTTTCTATGACCTAGCTTCTTGTTCTCTCACCTGTTTTGTGTTCTAGGGAGTAGACTGGACCCCGGTTTTATGGCCACACAGTCAATCGTTTTTCTTGTACAGTGCAACACATAAAAAAATACAGTGACTTTTCTTAAACATCACATTTCAATGTTGCATCCTTGAACAGTAGCACCAGTAAATAAACAAGAATTATACAATAACATATATATCTATTTTTTTTAATATTGTAATTGTATATTTTTTTACAAGTAGGCTATTATTATGTTCTTAACATTCGTTTACTTAAGCTCCAACCATTTCTCAATTTGCTCCACCTTATAATGTAATTGATCTTATAGAAAGTAGTGATTCTCTTTAGTTTACATTTTCCCCCCATGTAGTTATAAAAAATAATTTAACATTATGCACTATGCAAAGCTGCAAAAAAGATTGATTTCGTATCATACACATAGCGTTTTACCCATAGAGATAGAGGACTAATCTTTGGAACTGTGCCATTATAGCGTTTTACCCATAGAGATAGAGGACTAATCTTTGGAACTGTGCCATTATAGCGTTTTACCCATAGAGATAGAGGACTAATCTTTGGAACTGTGCCATTATAGCGTTTTACCCATAGAGATAGAGGACTAATCTTTGGAACTGTGCCATTATAGCGTCTGTGACAGCATGGGTAGCGCCGTTGAGGTAATCTCCATTTTGAAGTAGTCAATTTTCTTCTCAACGATTGGCTGATCCCTCCTGATGACCCGGTTGGACATGACTCCAACAGGGTCACCGGGAAGGATCAGCCAATGAAGTTGGAAATCCCACCCAGTTGACTATAATAAAATGGTGGAAGCTGTCAATGGCGCTGCCCCTGCTAACACAGCCTTTTGGCCACTAGAGGCCTCTTGCATTCTCTACGGTCTTATCGTAGACTTTTATTTTGAAGGCAAAATCCGAAAACCGGAAGTCTAAATGTGGATGGAATCCAGCTAGTGTTGCTGCCACTACGCTAATGACAGTGGCCATCCAATGTGACAAATGGCATGGCAGGTTTCAGCAAGGTCATGCAGTGAAATACTTATTTAACATAATTATTTTAGCTATCATGTCATGAAAGTACAGTCGTGGTCAAAAGTGTTGAATGACACAAGTATTGGTCTTCACAAAGTTTGCTGCTTCAGTGTTTTTAGATATTTTTGTCAGATGTTACTATGGTATACTGAAGTATAATTAGAAGCATTCCATAAGTGTCAAAGGCTTTTATTGACAATTACATTATGTTTATGCAAAGAGTCAATATTTGCAGTGTTGACCCTTCTTTTTCAAGACCTCTGCAATCCACCCTGGCACGCTGTCAATTAACTTCTGGGCCACATCCTGACTGATGGCAGCCCATTCTTGCATA